TTTTTTTTTTCATTGGCTGCTTTCTTCGCGTATTTCATGCGTTTTATGTTTTATTTGCTCTGCTTAATCTAAATAAGTGTCATTTTCGCTCCGCTTTTAATGCATTTTTTTTAGAAAAAAAAAAACCAGGTGAAGTTCTAATTTGGTATTCGATATGTGCAAAGAAATCGCCAACATATGCTTCATGAAATTGTAGCATCAGCAATTTAATACACTTTACCGCTGACTTTAACTGACACTAAATTTCAGTGCACAAGTACACTTCGAAACGATCGGTTACTTATTTCGTTCGCAATAAAGCAGCAAAATGAGTTCACATTTCATTTACATGATTTTTGTCATTTTGGCTGTGCTTCACGGTGTCTCTTCCGAAAAATATCAATATATTGGTAATTGTCGCTGTGATAAAAGTGCAAGTCCAGGCAAATGGGCTCTAAAATTCATTTGTATCGAAAACTATGCGGAAAAAAACTATTTTTCAAGTGGTTGGTCTGTGTGCGGAGACCAAAATGGATTTTATAAGTGGTATATCGGTTCAATAAACTTCAAAAACTGTAAATTCAAGCAAATCCCAAACAATACTTTTGAAGTGTACTATGATGTGTATGATTTGAATTTATCAAATCTTGGCATAGAAACATTGCGACCAGAGAATTTTGCAGGAGCCACAAATCTGAAAAATCTGAACGCATCTGACAACAAACTCACTGAAGTGTCGGCAAATTTATTCCACGATGCAGTTAATTTAGTAAAATTGGAAATTTCATACAATCAAATCGCATTCATTGCTCCTGAAGCTTTTTCCACTGCAGATCACTTAACGTTACTTACCTTGAATGAAAATAAAATTAGTGAATTGAGTGTCGAACTGTTTCAAAAGTTTCGTGCATTGAAAAACTTATATTTAAGTTCCAATCGAATAAGTGTGGTTCCAGCAGATTTATTTAGTAAATGCACAAATCTTAAATATTTAGACTGTTCGAAAAATCAAATCAATTTTTTCGATTCAAACGCTTTCTCCGATGGGAACCATCTGGAAACTTTGTTATTGTCATTCAATAACATTAGTGATTTGCCGGTCGATACATTTCAAAAACTTGTTGAGTTGAAAACGTTGGACTTATCGTTTAATAATATTGTTGAAATTCCGTCGTTTTTGTTCCACAAAATGGAAAAACTCATCGAAGTGAATTTTTCGCACAACAAAATATCAAGAATTGATTTCTTTGCATTTTTGGGTGTGCCCAATTTGGAAAAAGTAATACTGGCAAACAATGAACTTAAGTCATTGGATCGGCAAATATTTGATGCACATTCAAGCATAAAACATGTTGATGTTTCATTTAATCAGATTGCGGCTTTAAAAGTTGATGCCTTGTACTTTCTAGAGAATTTATCGTATTTTAATATATCAAACAATGCCATTAAAACAGTGAACAACAAAACATTTGCGAAAAATGTTTACCTTGAAACTCTGTCATTGTCCAACTGCGACTTATCAGAAATCAAGGCGGGCACGTTTTCGCCTGTTTTAAAATCATTAGATTTATCGAGAAATCAACTAAAAACATTGGATGTTCAGATTGCTATGGTCCAACCGGAACAGCTGGTATATTTATCCATCGTCAAAAATCAGTTGCGAGAGCTTAATGGATTCACAGCGTCGAATATAAACGAGAATTTGAAAATAGCAGGCATAGACAGCAATAATTTCAATTGTTCGTACTTCCAGAAGTTATTTGAAACAATCACACCGCTTCATTTCGACACGATAAAAAATCGAATCCATTGCAATTCGGACAATGAAGAAACTGTTCAAGATAATTCAAGGGAAAGTACAACGACTCCTTCAAAGGAAGTGATATTGAATCCTACCGAAACAACTACGGTTCCATCGGTAGAAACCACAGCAAATCAATTTGAAGCAACCGCAGCTCCATCATTTATTCAAACAGTTGAAATTGCTACGACTTCGGAAAATGCTGAATTGAACCAAAAACATGTTGAATCAACAAAAATAGAAATTACTACAACAGGCGAAGTGATCAGATTACATGACCCTGAAGCGGCAGAAAACACTCAAGCAAAAATGAAAGAAGCAGAGGCACTTGAATTTAATTTTACAAAACTGACTGAAAGTGAAAAATTACGAAATTCGATTGATAATAATTTGACTGCGTTGCACAATGACAAATATTTGTCAAAGTACGTTGAAAACAACACTAACCGAGAGCATCAGATCACAGTCAACAAGATGCATCATAGTTTGATTTCACTGGAAAAGTATTTGTTCGTGATGACATGTTTGATGGCACTCGGTTTCACCTTAATTGTGATGGCCGTCGCTTGGAAGATTTTTCATTCGCGATTTATCAAACAAACTGAAGCAACCCAAGTGATCTACAGGAGAGATGAGGTCATCATACCGAATGGAGTGGTGAACAACAACTACGAAGTTATTAAATTTGACAAGGAGCAACCACCAGTTCAGGTGATTTTGATGTTAAATTCAGAACTAAAACGAAAGATACTTGAAATTGCGTTTTTTTTACCATTCTTAGGCATTTAAACCACATCATGGGGCTGATTAGATTTTGAAGCATTAATATTTCATCATTCATGGATTATTAACGGCTTATTCATCGCCTCAAAATTTGGAATTAGTTTTTCATAAGGAGAACATTCAAATAATTTAAATGACGTTTATAGAGAAGATCCATCTTAAGAAAATTCATTATTACCAAAATAAACAATCAAAATGAAGGTTATGCGCAATAACAAAAGTCTCTTATCAATTTCTTTCCGTTCCGTTTGCATTGGCTCTCTGCTGATTTGGTTTATTCACAAATCGAATTAATCGTTTTTTCTTCAACAAACATTTGAGTCGCTCAATTTCAAACACGAACAAAGTTCGTACTTCTTTCGCATATACTTCGTATTCTTGCAGTCGTTTGACTATGACCGAAGCAATAAGATACTAATGCGTTTGTGTCTATATCGGTGACGATTTTTGCGCTCGTGACGACTTTAGTGCACTGTTGCATTTGTTTTGTTTTTATTTGAATGCCATTCAATACTCCCGTTTTATTTATTTTTCCTTTCTTATTAGTTGAATTCAGTGCAAACATTGAAATATTAATAGAATGTAGTAAAAAACTGAGCTCATTTATTTAATGAGTGAGCCGCATCGATATTTATTTACTGAGTGACCGCATGTCTCTTCCGCATGC